ACATATGAACTAATTGTACAAACTATTAGTTTACATATGAACTAATTGTACAAACTATTAGTTTACATATGAACTAATTGTACAAACTATTAGTTTACATATGAACTAATTGTATAAACTATTAGTTTACATATGAACTAATTGTACAAACTATTAGTTTACATATGAACTAATTGTACAAACTATTAATTTACATATGAACTAATTGTACAAACTATTAGTTTACATATGAACTAATAAATCAGGATTAGAGAAGAATTAAGGTTTATTAGCGTTAATATTTGAAGAAAAAACACAGATTAAGTTTTAATATGGCAAAAAAATGTACCCTAAGCAAGTTAACAAATCAGGATTAGAGAAGAATGGAGGTTTCTTAGCGTTAAAATTTGAAGAAAAAACACAGATTAAGTTTGAATATGGCAAAACAATGTACTCTAAGGAAGTTAACAAATCAGGATTAGAGAAGAATGAAGGTTTCTTAGCGTTAAACTTTGAAGAAAAAACACAGATTAAGTTTGAATATGGCAAAAAATGTACTCTAAGAAAGTTAACAAATCAGGATTAGAGAAGAATGAAGGTTTCTTACCGTTAAACTTTGAAGAAAAAACACAGATTAAGTTTGAATATGGCAAAAAAATGTGCACCCTAAGCAAGTTAACAAGGGTTTCTTATATTGTGTTTAAAACATTTGAAAGAGAAAAATATAGAATACATTCAATAGGATATATGTATAAAAAAGATTCTGATCATGTTAAACAATGCCGAGCAAGAAATCATAAAATGGGAAAAAAATAATGACACCGAAAGAAATGAAAAACGAACTATAGTCCAAAAGAAGAAAATCTGTGCAAATTCCAGAAACATGTTCGCAGAACAGATAAATGAAGCTCACCTGACAAACAGGGCGGTCCCGTGCAGTGTTCCATCACTGATGGTCTGGCTTCAGGTTTACACGAATTTCCCGCCAGTTTGTCTGTCCGCGGCCACACACACCTTACTATACGGTTCTTAAAGCCGATCTTTCCGCAGTCGGCATTACACTGAAGACAAAAGAACTTTTCTTTAATAAAGGCTAGTAATTTTAGTTTAATAATACTCAGTTTGTCTGTTTGTTCAAAATTTTCTACTCAGAACCATCTCTAATTTTGAACTGATAAGCTAGAGGTAAGGCAGCTATTCAACAGCACCCAACGCCAATTCTTGAACTACTCTTATTTGATCGAATAGTGGGATTGTACTGTCACTCTTATAGTGCATCCAAGGCCCCAAACTGTAGATCCCATTTTTGCGGCAACAGGACGCAGTCCACGAGTCCTTGAATTTATAATACCGGCGGCCTGGCATGGCCAGGTGGTTAGTGCGCTCGACTCGTAATCTGAGGGTCGCGGGTTCGAATCCCCGGCACACCAAACATGCTCGCCCTTTCAGCCGTGGGGACGTTATAATGTGACGGTCAATCCAACTATTCGTTGGTAAAAGAGTAGCCCAAGAGTTGATGATGACTAGCTGCCTTCCCTCTAGTCTTACACTGCTAAATTAGGGACGGCTAGCGCAGATAGCCCTCGTGTAGCTTTGCGCGAAATTCAAAAACAAACAAACAATTATAATACAGGCACGTTTATTTTGGGCACACCAGACCCAATAATGATAATGAGAAACGTATTGTTCAGGGTTAACAATGCACCCATAATATAAAAGATTATTTGTTAAATGAATGTTCACCACTTGAATTTCACATTTCACTTATAATATAATAGAAGTGTATTCGCATAGATTAAATTTCTGGGCCTCGCATGGCCGACTGGTTAAAGTGCCACGATTGTAAAGCAGAGGATTGATTGTTCGTGTCCCCTTGCCGTAAAATACGTTGGGGCCATAAGTACGCTATAAACCTGAGGGTCAAATCCCACTATTCGGTTTGACAAGAGTTGACGATGGGTGCTGTTGAACAGCTGCTTTTAGTCTAGCTTATCAGTTGAAAATTAGAAATGCTATGCGCAGAAAACGTTTTGTTTAGTTTTTCGCGAAAATTCTAAAACAAGCAGACTTGTTTTCTTAATTTATAGATATTCCAAATATCATTTTAATTTCCTCCAAAACAAAATCAAATATGTGCACAATAGTTTATACAAATGTTGTTTTAATATTAGCTGAGAGTTGAAAATATTTTAAGGATGGTATCAATATTAGTTGAGTTTTTAAAACCCTTTAAGGATGGTATTAATATTAGTTGAGTTTTTAAAACCCTTTAAGGATGGTATCAATATTAGTTGAGTTTTTAAAACCCTTTAAGGATGGTATTAATATTAGTTGAGTTTTTAAAACCCTTTGAGGATGGTATTAATATTAGTTGAGTGTTGAAATCCCTTTAAGGATGGTATTAATAATAGTTGAGTGTTGAAATCCCTTTAAGGATGATGTTAGTATTAGTTGAGTGTTGAAATCCCTTTAAGGATGGTATTAATATTAGTTGAGTGTTGAAATCCCTTTAAGGATGGTATTCATATTAGTTGAGTGTTGAAATCCCTTTAAGGATGGTATCAATATTAGTTGAATTTTTAAAACCCTTTAAGGATGGTATTAATATTAGTTAAGTGTTGAAATCCCTTTAAGGATGATGTTAGTATTAGTTGAGTGTTGAAATCCCTTTAAGGATGGTATCAATATTAGTTGAGTTTTTAAAACCCTTTAAGGATGGTATTAATATTAGTTGAGTTTTTAAAACCCTTTAAGGATGGTATTAATATTAGTTGAGTGTTGAAATCCCTTTAAGGATGATGTTAGTATTGGTTGAGTGTTGAAATCCCTTTAAGGATGGTATTAATAGTGGTTGAGTTTTAAAACCCTTTAAGGGTGGTATTACTATTAGTTGAGTGTTGAAATCCCTTTAAGGATGAAGTTAGTATTAGTTGAGTGTTGATAATTCTTTAAGGATGGTATCAATATTAGTTGAGTTTTTAAAACCCTTTAAGGATGGTATTAATATTAGTTGAGTGTTGAAATCCATTTAAGGATGGTATTAATATTAGTTGAGTTTTAAAACCCTTTAAGGGTGGTATTAATATTAGTTGAGTATTGAAATCCCTTTAAGGATGCTGTTAGTATTAGTTGAGTGCTGATAATTCTTTAAGGATGGTATCAATATTAGTTGAGTTTTTAAAACCCTTTAAGGATGGTATTAATATTAGTTGAGTGTTGAAATCCCTTTAAGGATGATGTTAGTATTAGTTGAGTGTTGATATTTTTTAAGTAAATGTATGTATGGTAGCAAAAGATATAATAACTTAGATTATAAATTATCACTATTTATAATAACGGTCTCCGAGAAGCTAATAACGCTGTGATTTTTTTAAATGAATGATGACCATGTTGGTTGACTCTGAGTATAAATACCACTATCAGTGTTTCAAACAGTATACATGATTAAGTCGTGTTAAAATTCTATCGAGATCCACGTTTAAAAGTCTGAACACATTAAATCCCATCTAAAAACATCCTATATAATTTCAAATGTGAAATATAGTTTCATGTTCATATTATCAAACCAACCTCTGACCACGGTTCAACCTTCCACACCCCGACGCACTGAGGGTTGTAACATTCTCGAGATATGATAGGTTTCTCGTTTTCAACACAATTACTGTCGGACACTTTGGTTCCGTTGGGAAAAGAACAGCTTATCCCTCTGTGTTGTTTTCCTGTGTATAAGCTTGTGCAGCTGATGTCCAAACACTATAACGTGTCACAACAATTAGAAGGGTGCAGGAAATCAAGGTACATACATTCACAAGAGTTTAGTCATGTTTTAAATATTGAAAAACTACAATTTGTTGTTTATTATATTTTTCCGAATGTTAATATTTGCGTAAGTTTAAACGAAGTAATAACATTAACAGTCATCTATAACAGATAGTACTCGTTTTTAATAATAGAAGCACAAGAGCTGTGAACCATGTTTTAAAGTAGGGGGTGATGTAGCCTAGCAGTTACACTGAAACATTCACCTACCACAAAGCCTTACGACTAGTGACCTCCCGCGGTGACATTGAGTTCGATATCAAATTGCGAATAATTTCGTTATACTTATTATAATTTCTACATTTTGGATAGTAGCTTAGAATAGAAAAAAAAAGACTTATAGACGAGGCTTTGTTTTATGCTATAGAGAGATAACAAAGTCGATATTGAAATATCGAATAATAAATATCACGATATAATTCACTCATTGTAAGGTAGTGTGTCATTCTGTCAATAACGACCATTACAAGACCATATTGAAAGCAAAGACTTAGGCTTTGAACTAGGTGTATGTCCCAATGATTCTGATGAGTAATAAAATTCAATCGGGTATTGCTGATGCACAAAAATATATATAGCTAATAAACAAAACAAAAAAAAAGATAGTCTCATAGATTACTGCCTAAAAGAATTTCAAGTGCTGGCATAGATTTGGCCCGGCATGGCCAGGTGGTTAGGTCGCTCGGCTCGCAATCTGCTGGTCGCGGGATCGAATCCCCGTAACACCAAACATGCTCGCCCTTTCAGCCGTGGGGTGTTATAATGTGACGGTCAATCCCACTATTCGTTGGTAAAAGAGTAGCCCAAGAGTTGGCGGTGTGTGGTGATGACTAGCTGCCTTCCCTCTAGTCTTACACTGCTAAATTAGAGACGACTAGCGCAGATAGCCCTCGTGTAGCTTTGCGCGAAATTCAAAACTACCAACCAACCCAATGGTAAAAATAAAACCGCAGAGTCTAATCGTCGGACTAGGGGGTGATGTAGGCTTATACGTTTAGTCTGTATATAATAAAATATATTCATTAAAACGATTTGAAACATCCTATAAATATGTAATGTAAATACGTAAATAGCATCATCCATTTCTAGCCTCTTAACATATGCAACATTATCATTAAGGTCAAGAATATATCCCCTCTACTAATTCCAACAGAAAAAAAAAGATAGCAATTTACCTCCGACCATTCTGCAATTTTCCATCGAGGGCACTCAGGTATTGCACAGTGTCTAATGTAGAGTGGAGGTTCGAGTCCGGCATTAACACAGAGTTTGTGATCGACAACCCTGGAGTGGTTTTCTTGCTTATTATCAATTTTTAACAGACACTGACTGGAACGTGTCTGTAAGAAGAACATGGATTATTTTTGGTGTGATGGAAAAGTTCAAACATGAAAACTAATAGTTTGTACAATTAGTTCATATGTAAACTAATAGTTTGTACAAATTAACTTGCTTAGAGTTCATTTTTTTGCCATATTAAAACTTAATCTGTGTTTTTCTTCAAATTTTAACGCTAATAAACCTTAATTCATCTCTAATCCTGATTTGTTAACTTTCTTAGAGTACATTTTTGCCATATTAAAACTTAATTCATCTCTAATCCTGATTTGTTAACTTTCTTAGAGTACATTTTTGCCATATTAAAACTTAATCTGTGTTTTTTCTTCAAATTTTAACGGTAAGAAACCTTCATTCTTCTCTAATCCTGATTTGTTAACTTGCTTAGAGTACATTTTTTTTGCCATATTAAAACTTAATCTGTGTTTTTCTTCAAATATTAACGCTAAGAAACCTTCATTCTTCTCTAATCCTGATTTCTTAACTTGCTTAGAGTACATTTTTTGCCATATTAAAACTTAATCTGTGTTTTTCTTCAAATATTAACGCTAAGAAACCTTCATTCTTCTCTAATCCTGATTTCTTAACTTGCTTAGAGTACATTTTTTGC